TCCCACCCGAAACGTTTCTCTGCAACGACAGCAGCTGGAAGCCTGTAAATCACCGGTTGTGTCACTTCCCGCCTAAAGCGAAGGAGGGACAGAAGGTTCTCGACCGTGAAGTGGTGTTGTTATTGGACGAGGAGGTGACGGAGAGGTCGTTGGTCCCACCTAAAGTTGAGGTGGAGACTCGAGGAAACGGGCGGTTCGACCGGGAAAACTGGTGGTTCGCCAAGGCGGTCCACCACGAGGGCGGGCTGACCATGCTGGCTTATTACGACGGGGATCGGGACCTGGTCGAGGTTTCGAGGCTGGCCGGTTTGAAGCCGGTCAGGCTGCCGTATCCGAGGGATGCTGATGTTCGTGCGGATCGGAGTTTCTTCCTGGCTTATATATGTGACCAAACTCGATTGGCTTTCGCCTATAGGGAGTAATTTTCCCTAGCTACCTCGATCACTGTTTAGGTAATGATCAGTTTCAGTTGGTGACTCTTAATTTGTTAAGTTATGTTATCTGCTTTTGGCTATGGTTGTCACATTGTCGAATAATGTATTGGTGAAATTGAATTGTTTGTTCTTATCTCTATTTTTTTTTTCATTCAACCAATTTTGCCATCAATAAAATGGAAGTATTTGATACAATCTATCCACTAAGAAATAATCCAATTCATAATATATTCAATCCATTTAGTTCGAATTCATTGGATTATCCGATTTGTGTATATTTGAAAAAATTTGCAGTTTAGTATCTATATTTTTCATATCTTATATTCTATTATGATATCGAAATTTTAAAATTTGAATGAAGAATATCATTTAAAATCCATGTTTTGGTGCAATTTTTTTTTATAATGAGATTTTATAATTTTCTATATTTTACATAATAGTTGTATTGACAGTCACCTGTATCCATGAATTCAATCCAATCCACCAATTCTTGAATCTAATTCATTTGTCATCTCTGCTTATGGATAATACGAAAGCAGCTAATCTCCTGATGAAATACATACTAATAAGTAGTATATAACTGCCATATTGTTTACCATAACACCTCCAATGAATTGTTGATTCGAATACACAAGTGGTAAATGGATCGACGAGTACCAACTCACGACGAACAAAAACTTATATAAGCATCAACCTTGTTGATTGATAGTTAGACTGAAGGGGTCCAGTTATTGATAATCCCCCATGTGAAACATTGCAATGTTTAAGTCATTGTGCGTTATTAAAGAATGACTGAGGAGTGGTATTTTGTGGTATTTAGTAATCAGAAGTCATTGATAATTGTTTATCAACATGATTAGTTGATTATCCCGGATGTATTTTCTATCGATAATTTTTTTTTTTAAAATAGTGCATCAAAGGTTGTTGCTAATGTCTAAAGTCTAAAATGTCGTTCCAAGACTTTCTTTTAATCATTGATTAAGGAAACTAATTGTAAATCTAAAGAACACTCACTCTTGTATTTATTTTTGCTCTATTAGCTTTCTGCCCGACCAGTTAGCCGGGTCGGAGTTTCTTTTTATTATTTATATTATTCTAATGAAGGCACTCAACAAATGGTCGAGAGTTGCAAAAAAAGGCATGATTCAGTGGTAATATCATTGATCTTAAATTTGGAGGTATAAATTCAAATATCTTGAATAACATCTAATTAAAACACAAACCTACATCACTTATATAGAAAAGAAACAAATGATCGAGGGTTCATCTCTTGACTTGATCTTTAAATACGGGTGATAGTTTATAGTGCGCCCCAACACTATGAATACATGCAACATTATAAATATTCATAATTAATAGAGCATTTATATTATATACCATGATACACCATACATCTTGAATAATAAATATATAAAAATAATGTATATATTAAATTTATAATCATTATAAACATTATAAATATATAAAAATAATGTATATATTAAATTTACAATCATTATAAACATTATGATCATATATGTTCAAGAAACGTCTGATGTGTGGTAGATCTTAGCAATAATAACATTGCAGATGCACGTAAATTTATATTAAGCTTTTAAATTGTAGTAATTTTAAATAATTTAAGGATTAATTGATAGTCCAGTAAAAAGTAATTAAACTTAATTTTATTTCATTCACAAAATCAATTCACATCAGTTGAATTCTCCCTTTAAAGTTTTCCCCAAATTGCAAACAAAAAATTGCAAAGAACCCATCACAAACCCAAAAAGATGGCAAAATAAATAAAAATGGAGAATGTGATATAGGAGAAGTAAGGGTAAGATTATTGAACTTTTATTGATAAGCAGAATTTTCATTTAGGAGTCGTTTGCTTCAAGGATTTGGTACATGGATTTGGTACAATCCGTTGTTTGCTTGCACCTTTTTTGGAGACCAAATCCGTGGGGCCCACGGATTTTAAGGGTCCAAATCCGTGGACCCCACGGACTTATAAATCCCACATGTTGATGTGGGATTTGGAATATGACATAAATCCTTGATGAGATTTTACCCATATACCCTCATGCACTTTTAATATTCCAAGTTTGCGCTAAAATTTAACTATTATACATTATAATTAACAATAAATGAATAATATAAACGTTCAATTAATGTGCAAACATGAGTTATATTTTTATATCATTTATTGTGTTCTAGTTTTCTTTGACCTTTTCATGGAACGTGTAATTCTTTGTTCTCCCGATTCTAATATATGTTGTTATATGTTACTTTTGAAAAGGAGGACAAAGAATTGGTAATTGATTATGTTACGTTAAAAGTTAAAACAGAATTTTCTCGTTTATTATTATTGTCCATGTGGCAACATTATGCTTATTAGTATGTATTGTCCTTGTTTTGTGTACATATCATAAACATGTCAAACATATAGAAAATGATAGTAAGGTAATTTTGAAGTTTTGTCCTTGTTTTGTGTACATATCATAAACATGTCAAACATATAGAAAAGGGCAGTAATGTAATTTTTGATTTCAAGTAGTAAATCCCACACATTTAAATCCATGATAAAAACATCCCAACAAACAAAAGATTGTTACAAATCCATGATGCCTCAAATCCTTGATAAATCCTTGGGTTTTTAAATTACAAAACCCTCATTTTTAAATTTTTGAAGCAAACGACCCCTTAGGCGAATGATTCAATAGTTGTGGTGCTAGCGGTTTGGAAATGAGAAGGACGGAAGGGTAAAGGGGTTGCTTTTTTCTTCTTCTTTTTTTAACTCCATGTGTGGTTAATTAGGCGGGTGTGATTTGTGGGAAGCAGGTGATGACGTGGCTGCGTGAAGGAAAGGGGAATTTGAATCTCTAAAGCTTTTTTTTGAGAAACCTCTTATAATATTCTGGGAACCTCCTACCATGTTTTGAAGTTACTATAACTTGACGTTTTTGACCTGCTATAGCAGATTTTATAGGTCGCGTTACGTAAAACTAATGTTTATTACGTAACAATTACGTAATGCTTGTTAGTCTTACGTAACAGTTAAACTAGAAGCGTTACAGAAGGTTTTCGTAACGACTTATCATTTTACGTAACGCTAGGTTAATATTCATTACGTAAAAGCATCGTCTATTACATAAGGCTTCCGTAATGACATTTTACAACTGTTACATAAAATACATGCTCATTACGTAAAGGTTACGTAACGAAGGTTATTTCTTACGTAACAGTTAAATTAGAAGTGTTACGTAAGACTTCCGTAATGACTTACCACATTACGTAACTTAATTAATATCATTACGTAAAAGGACCATCCATTACGTAAGGCTTCCGTAATGCCACTTTACAACTGTTACGTAAAGTATGCATCTATTACGTAAAGGTTACATAACGATAGTTATTTCTTACGTAACAGTTAAATTAGAAGTGTTACGTAAGCCTTCCATAATGATTCAACAGATTACGTAACGAAAGGTTAATATTCATTACATAAAATGAGTCTCTATTACGTAAGGTTTCCGTAATGACATTTTTCAACTATTACGTAAGATAAACACACATTACGTAACCATTACATAATGCCTATGTATTTTACGTAATGCGACTTGTGAAACCTGTTATAGCAGGTCAAAAACATCCAGTTACCATATCTTCAAGGTATTGTAGGAATTTCCAATATTCTGTAGATAGATAGATAATTATTCACAAAATCAGAACACTGATTCTGTAAGATAATTATTCCGTTAGATATTTTTGTGTTGTTGATAACAAAAGACGGCGGCAGAGGATTTGCTCCGTCAGAGCTTTGTCAACAGCGGTCAGAGGAAGACGAAAGACGACGGTTCCAGCTGTCCAAATCCATTTCTCAAGGTTTTGGAGAACTGATCAATAAGCACAGTTTGTCAAAAGGGAATCAACATTCTACCAAAAAAAAAAAAAAAAGAGGGTATCAACGACAAGAGGTCTTCAAGAAAGCTCGATCGTCAATGTTAGAAAAGCACTGTTGCCTCAGCCGATCCGCATTTGTATCTTTCCCACGACTCATCCCTATTCCCTACAAGAAATCTTACTAGTAAAATCGGGTTAATTGCATGGTTGGTCACTGAAATTACAAAAACGTTCAAGTTTGGTCACTCGAAATATTTAAATCCATTAGTGGTACCTCAGTTTACTGAAACCGTTCAAATTTGGTCACTCTCCGTCCAACTCCGTTAACTTTTGGTGATGTGGCAGTCAACTCTCAAAGTTGACCGTTAACTTAGTGACGTGACAATTAAAACATTATTAAAAATAGAAAAAATAAACTTTTATATTTTCCACCTCATTATTACATCCATTAAAATAAAAATAATAAAAAAAACTAATTTCTTATTACATTCATTAAAATACTGGTCTCCCCTGTTTTCTACCCGGTGTTCAACCGAGATCGATTTCCCGACGACGCTGAGGGACAGAGCAGCGATGCTCCAGCAACGGCCGAAACGATACTGCGCCCGCTGAGCGAGTTGTTCATGGACGATCGAGATCAGCAAGTCGTCGTACTCTTCTTCCTCGTCGGAAGCAGACGAATTGGAAGGTGCGCCGGAAGGGAGCTACTGCGTCTGGACGCCAAAAATTATTTCCCCGTCGTCGGTTACCGGAGCGTCGCCTTCTCCCGGTAGATGCGAGAAGAGCAATTCCACCGGATCTTCGGCCTCGACCACGAAGCGGCGGTGGAGGCTACGAGATTTGCTGCGTAGATCCAGCAGCGACGGGAAGGTGTGCTACTTGATGGTCCAGCCAAACACTGCTGGCGCCAGCAGTAGCGGCAGTAATAATAGCAACAGCAGCAATAATGAAATTAATTTGGGGAAAGGGGTGAGGAGAAATCGACAGCCGATCGGACGGCGAAACCGTCGCCGGCAAGAGCTGCGAAAATGGCGGCGTCGGCACACGAGGTGTTTTATACGAAGAGCAGAGCGTTGAAAGATGGGGATTGGCGGCGGTCGTATCTGCCCTACCGTCAGGAGCTTCTCGTCGGATTCTTCTCTAATGTGAACGGTTTACGTTGACTCCATTTTAGGGATTTTGTTATTGTTTTGGTTTCGAATTACAAGGAGGAGAATCCCAACAGACGGAGTCAAGCTTGGATCATGAGGACGGCTTCAACAAATTATCGTTTCCTTTTGTTTTCTGTTTCGTTTTTGGGATATTAATTTCGTACATGTAAATAATTAATTTTTTCTGTTAAGTACGGCACAAATTTATGGCGATGTAATGATATATATTTTTTCATTATATTAGCGATAATGAATTAACTTTTGGGATGAAGTTTAATTTTATATAATTCTTCTCAATAAAATTAGAGTTTTTCTAAATGTATTTAAAATAATTCATTTTTTTCTCAATAAAATTAGAGTTTTTATATATTAGCTACTGAAGCTGGGGGCAAAACGCCACGTCGGTGGCGGCTGTGGCGGAGGTTTCGTCCTGCATTTTAATGAATGTAATAAGAAATTAGGTTTTTTATTTTTTTATTTTTTAATGAATGTAATAATGAGGTGGAAAATATAAAAGTTTATTTTTTTATTTTTAATAATTTTTTAAATTGCCACGTCACTAAGTTAACGGTCAACTTTGAGAGTTGACTGCCACATCAGCAAAAGTTAACGGAGTTGGACGGTGAGTGACCAAACGTGAACGGTTTCAGTAAACTGAAGTACCACAAGTGGATTTAAATATTTCGAGTGACCAAACTTGAACGCTTTTTGTAATTTCAGTGACCAACCATGCAATTAACCCTCGTAAAATAACTGGCACCGAATGTTCTTGCTCTACATTGCGAATGACTATTAGTATAACTGATTCTTTCTGCAGAAACACGTTGCAGATGAATGTCAACCAATAGAAGTGCATATAACATTACCAGAAACATCCCCTAACATCAACATCCTAGAATTAATGACGTGGTCAGAATCTAAATGGAGTCCTTACACAGCCTACCATACATTGATACTCAATCTAACAGATGTTTCAAACTTTCCAATTCACAAGCATCATTCATCTAAAATGTGAACTTGGAGCACATCTTCCATGGCAGTGCCCACAAATATACATGTGTCACCAGCTTTCAGAGAGTTATCACGCACAAATCGGCACCACCCTTCACAAATAGTAGGAACACCACGGCGTGACATAATTTCCACGAACCATGTCTCTTTCTCCAAGTTTAAGCTCCACCATTTTCCCATTCCAGTTGGTGATGTACCTCAGAACAAACCCTCCATGCATCTTCTGCAAAAGAGAAAAAAAAAACATCATCTTCAGTTGTTTGCACTAGATGAATCAATAGAACCAAGCATTGTTTGCTTGCGGCAACCTACCAGGCCAGTGTTTTCTGCATATTTTGTGACACTGACTTGGAGAAAATCAGGCCGTGAAGTAAACCCATCTACAGGTTGAATTGTGGGTCTATGACGCCTTGAACTGGAAGGTCTGTTAGAAGCTGACTCATAGATCAAGTATACATTCAGGAAACTCGAATTTCACACATAAGAAAAGCACATTCTCAGTTCTCTAGTGCTTGGAAAGTAAGATTTTGTACCTTTTCTTGCTCAGTCATGGATGGAATGTGGGATGTTTCGGCATTATCCCTTCCGAAAGGCCTTACAAATACCTCCATTTCTCCACGGACCTTCCTGGTTCACTTTGCTGTTCTCTCCACCATTGGCTGTACTCCTCTTCCCTGCGGTAATCAATGCAAAAACGATCAGATTTGTGTTCCTTCCATGTTTATGTGCCGAACCAACACTCACCAGCACTCATGAACACATTTTGCGCTGCATTCTCTACAGAGAGCGGTTGCTCTGGCCGCTTCGCACCACTTCCATTGTTGCTGTTTATCTCCTTCACAAACAGTGAGTCTGCCAAACCCAACCGAAATGAAACTATGTAAACCCAAAACATTAAGGTTCAAGAATGTTAGGACAGCGGTTAAGACTTACGGGCCCCAAGCCCATGACTTGCCTAAAAGCCCACCAGACAACCAAGTCCGGCCCAAATGGACACAAAGGGCGGCCTGCCTCAGTAAAACCGACCCGGAAGGACGCCCGACACTCCCGCAACGGGACCTCAGAGAACCGCCCGACAGGAGAAGAAGGACAACCTCTGAGCATTTCGTACAAAGACTAACAGAAGTACAAACCTGACAGTCTCAGGGGATCAGGGATCAGGCGGTCCAGGACCGCCCGACATGGCATTAAATGCCCTGATCCTCAACCCTCACTAGTATAAATACCCACCTCGGGTCACATTAATGGTAACTTCGACCTACTTCATTCTCTCTCTTATTTATTCATATCTCACTTCTCTCTCTAACTTAGGCATCGGAGGAGGTCCCAGGAACCCCCTGAGGACCTTTCTGCAGGGTTTCGGAGACCGCCCTCGACCATCGAAGACGCCCAAGGCTAGTGGAGTCTCACAAAACCGCTTGGTACATTCCAGGCACAAACATTTTGGCGCCCACCGTGGGGCCCTACTACTTTGTGGCGAACGAGATGGGAGACGACTTCGAAACCCCCCTCAAGGGGATGACCGAGAATAACACCCTCCGAGGCTTATCACCGAGGGTCGAAGATGAGCCCGAGCTGGAAGAGGTGGTCAAGAATCAAGGAATGCAGATCGCAAGCATGCAAGACAGCCTTACCCAAATTCTTCAACTCCTGAAGACTCGAGACGACCCCGCCGAGGGCTCGAGGGGAAAGGCACGCGACGAGAAGCTGAAAGGCGCTCTTATCCTCGACAGCCCTGCTCGAACAGAAGGCGGAGGGCCAGAGGCCGATGACCCAGACCTCAACTTTCTAGAGGAGCATTTGCGGTCCACCTTCGGGAAGCACAAGAGCCCGAATGTTCTACAAAACCCCCTATCGAGAGAACTCTTCAAGACTCCGGTACCCCCAAACTTCTCCTCTCTGGGACTACCAACCTATGGTGGGACGTCAGATCCCGCCGACCATCCTTGTGCGTTCATGTTAAAAATGCAACTCATCAACGCCACAGACTCGGATCTGTGTAAGGCGTTCCCTGTTACCTTCAGCGGTCAATGCCGAACTTGGTACACCTCACTTCCAGAGGGGATTATAGAAAACTTTGAGCAGTTTGCGATGCTCTTCTCCACCAAATTCGCGTCCCAACGGCGTCGAAAACTAACCGTCTCGGCGCTCATAGGCTGCCGACAAAGGAAGGAAGAGTCGCTTGCTGAGTTCTACGACCGTTGGAACGCGATAGCTTGCGAGATAGACGGCATCTCACCAGTCGTGGCCGCCGGAAACCTCCGAATCTCGACGACCAGTCTCGAGCTGAAGAGAACGCTGATAAAAAAGGAGGCGACCTTGGCGGCCTGGTCTGACTTGGACTAATTGGTACGGCGAGCGATCTTGTTGGAAGAAGCGTTAGCCAACGACGACCGAGGTCCACATGGTCGTCCCCGCGGAGACGCCTCGGAGCGTGGGGACTCCCGGAGAGGAAGGCGGTCACCTGATCGAAGGGCGTACCGGAACAGATACCCCGACCGAGAAGGAAGAAGAGACGTCCTTTCCACCGACAGGGACAAAGGAAGGGACCGGAGGAAAAGCGGAAGAAAACACGAGACATCTTCCGTCCAAGAGCCGCAAGAAGGAAAAAAGTGGTGCGACTGGCACCAAATCACAACCCATGACACCACAGAGTGCAGGGAGTTCAAGGCCACGCTCCGACATCTGGCCCCGGGGGACCTGAGAAGCAAACTAGAGATAAGGCGGTCCCACAGGGAACATTCAGCAGAAGAGCGGGAGGAGTCCCCGAGTCCCGAGCAAGACAAAGCGAGGCGCCCAAGAAAGGAAAGATCAAGGTCCCGCTCTCGAAACAAGGCCGCCTCCCCGAGGCAGTCTCCTTCCTACAGAGACCCCCGGAATGAAGATGATGGGATGGAAGTCATAACGATAGCGGGAGGGCGGAAACGCCCAAGGACCGAAGGAGACCGCATCGCCCAATGTCTTAACGTGCAGCGGAGAGCACCGACCGAGGTCGCCTTCCTTCCGTCCGAGCTGGTCCACGAGGAAAACTCGGAGGACCCCCTGGTCATTTCCTTTCGAACCGCCAAGTTCAAAGTCACTAGAGCCCTGGTCATGGGAGCTCGGCGGACATACTTTTCTACTCAGCGCTCAAAGGGATGAAAAAGAGCGTTCAAGACCTCAACCCGTCCACCACCAGCCTGGTAGGATTCTCCGGTACCAAAGTCCGTGTCCTCGGCTCAATCACACTCAAAGTCACCATAGGAGAAGGAGGAATCACAAAGACCAGACCAGTAGAGTTTCACGTGGCGGATTGCCCTTCGGCATATAACGCCATTCTCGGACGCGGCTTCCTAGCTTCGTTCGAGGCGGTCGCATCCACATGCCACCAAATGCTTAAGTTCCCCAGCGGAGGACAAACCGGACGCGTTCGGGGAAACCAAAAAGAGGCCAGAGAATGCTACCAAGCCACCATCGAACACCTCGAAGTTGACCTCGTCGACACAAGAGGCGATGTTCCAAGACCGGAAGCGGTCGAGGGAGATGTGGCGGTCGCCCTCGACGCAGAGCGACCAGAGAGGACAGTGCGTGTCTCCACACACCTTGCCAAAGAGGAAGCTCAGAAACTACTCACACTCCTCCGAGAGTTCCAAGACCTCTTCGCATGGGGACCGGAAGACATGCCCGGCGTCCCCCGGAAGGTCTCCGAGCACCGCCTCTCGGTCAAAGCCAAAGCGCGCCCCATACAGCAGCGAAGGAGGCATCTGTCAGTCGAAAAACAAATGGCGCTGGAAGAGGAGGTACGACGACTCCTCAAAGCCGGGTTCATCAGAGAGGTAAAATACCCAACCTGGCTCTCAAACCCGGTCTTTGTACGCAAGGCTGGAGGCGCTTGGAGAATGTGCATCGACTTCACTAGCCTCAATGCGGCCTGTCCCAAGGACGCTTATGCTCTTCCCCGCATTGACCAGCTCATAGACGGGACCGCCAACCACGAAGCCCTCAGCTTCCTGGACATGTTCTCCGGGTACCACCAGATCAGAATGGCGGACGAGGATCAAGAACTAACCGCTTTCATGACTCCCATGGGCAACTTCTGCTACGTAGTTATGCCCTTCGGACTAAAGAATGCGGGGGCGACCTATCAGCGGATGGTGGACACGGTCTTCAAGGAGCAAATGGGGCGGAACGTGGAGGCCTACGTTGACGACGTGCTAGTCAAAAGCAAGAAAGCAAGCGACCACCTGTCCGATCTAAGGGAAACTTTCGAAACGCTAAGGAAGAAGAATCTAAGGCTCAACCCGCTTAAATGCGTCTTCGGAGCCGAGGCAGGAAAATTTCTAGGGTTCATGATCACCAAGCGAGGGATAGAGGCCAACCCAAAACAAATCGAGGCCATACGCGCCTTAAAACCGCCAAAGACTATCAAAGAAATCCAGGCGTTCAATGGGAAGATGGCCGCACTCGGTAGGTTCATCCCGCGGTCGGCCGACAAATGCTCCCCCTTCTTCCAAATGCTGAAGAAATTGGCATCGAGGCTACAATGGGGCGCCGAGTGCGACAAGGCCTTTCAGCTGCTGACGGACCAGCTCAGTCAGCCGCCAGTTTTGAGCGCCCCAATCAGCGGTGAGCGGCTCTACCTCTACTTAGCGGTCTCCGAGCAAGCTGTGAGTTCTGCCTTGGTGAGAAGAGCGCAAGACGGCTCTGACCGCCCTGTTTATTACGTGAGCAAGGCGCTCCTTCCCGCCGAAACGAGATATTTGCCAGTCAAAAAGGCGGTTCTAGCAGTCGCCTCCGCAGCAAGAAAGTTGAGACCATACTTCCAAGAACACTCGGTCACGGTGCTGTCCCACCTCCCGCTCAAAAGCATTATGAGGGGCATGGACGCCTCAGGTCGGCTGACCAAGTGGGCAATCGAGCTGAGCGAATACGACATCGAATATGCCCCTAGACCCGCCATTAAGGGGCAAGTCCTGGCCGATTTCATCGCCGAAGGTTTCTCTTTCGAAACCGCTCCTCCCGAGGAGCGCAATCAAATATGGCGTCTGTTCATAGATGGGGCCGCCGGAAAAACCGCCTCCGGGGCAGGGATGGTCATCGAGTCTCCCGAAGGGGTGGTACATGAAGTCTCTCTGAGGTTCAAGGAGATCAAGACCAACAATGTTGCCGAATACGAGGCGCTAATCAATGGGCTTCGGATACTGTCCACGCTAGGGGCAACTGACGTGCAAATATTCTCCGACTCCCTCCTGGTCGTCAAACAAGTCCTAGAGGCATTCGAGATCAAAGATGAGACGCTAGCGGCGTTAGCTATCAGAGTGCGAGACGCCCTGTCTCAGCTAAGTTCGTGGAAGCTGGAGCATGTCCGGAGAGAAGACAACCAACATGTAGACGCGCTTTCCAAGCTCGCAACCGCCATGGATTTCGAAGGCGACCGGCATGTCACCGTCACCAAGGAAAGTGAGTCCGCAGAAGAGGTCATGAGCATCGAGGAAGCCGCCGACTGGCGAACCCCTATGATCCAATACCTGGAGCACGACGTCACCCCACAAGACCCAGTGGAACGGAAGGCGCTCAAACGAAAGGCGGCTCGGTATTCGATGGTAGACGGCCAACTCTTCAAGAGATCGTTCTCCGGCGCTTACTTAAAATGTCTCGGGGTGGAAGAGGCCAAGTGGACCCTAAAGGCCATACACCAAGGAACGTGTGCCACGCATGCCGGTCCAAGGTCGCTGGAGAGAACCATCCTCTTGCAAGGCTACTACTGGCCAACCATCAAGAGGGACGCTTCAGACGTTGTCCTCAAATGTCACGCATGCCAAGTTCATGCTTCCAAGCACCACCAGCCGAGCTCCGAGCTGCAGAGCGTAGTG